ATCAGTGGCCTAATAGATATTTAGCCTAAGAGAGAAAAACCAGCTGTTTGCGGTTATGTAGAAAAATAACTGTCTGTTTGTAAGTTTCACCTTTTACCTTTCTAATAAATGTAAATGAAGAATTCATGAGTATTAGTTAATAAATAATGTTTTGTATTTATATTTACCAGCGCCTTTAATAATCAGTTGGTTATCAATTAACTTAAGTATTATGGAAAACATCAAACGCAGTTGTGTGCTATTCGGCTATTGTGTGCGGTGTCAAAAGCTGATCATTAACCACTAAAGCAGTATCGATTTTAATGACAAAATCACAAATTTAAGTGAATAATCTTATAGTGCTTAATATTAAAATCAAACATAAAAATCTAATATTTAATGACAAATATGGGAAATAAAAAATAACGGTTCGGGGCCTAAATAAAGCAGTATCTACGGAGAAAGATATACTCGAAGAGTGCTCTAAGTTACCTCAGCCTTTAAAAATCGGTGAATGTTCCGACTCCGAATCTTCAGATGATAATAACAACAGCATCATAGCAAATCCCAAAAAAGATGAAATAGAGCAAATGGTGAAAGAGGTGAGTGATAGCTAAACTACCTATTACTAAAAACGGCTTTCTGGAGCACAGAGGAGGAAGATAAAGAGACCCAAAGGAAAAAGTCGGATGCTCTCAAATTTCTGAGGAAAAAGAGGATCAGGTCTTCCGGGGAGTTGACAACTGAGAATCTAAGAAGAAAAAGAGCTCCCCTTCTTCTAATATACAATCGAAGAAAAGCCATAACTCACTTAAAGGAACCTCAAGTCAGAGTCCTGCGAGTAAGATTGGCATCTCACCAATATTCTGGCACTGGCACTTGGTGGAAATATCTCCCTTCCCCTTGTGCTGGAACCGGCAAAGATGAGGGTTCTTCCGGTGCTCTTACTGACTGTATAAAAGGGGCAGTAAACTGGCTAATGAGCGCATTTTTGGAAATTCTTGGAATCCAAAATGCTAAACTGGCCGTGGAAAATGGAATTAGTATACAGGAAAGAACCTGAGGGAGCTCTACTTGTAATAGTTTCCGACAAGAACAAAGGTAGGGCTTGCCAGAAAAAAGTGTAGTTGTCCTTTCCAAAATTAGGAAGGGATTGTCAACAACCGATGCAACGTTGCGAGGCAACATATACATTGCATCTGTTTACTACCACCAAAGCCAATTAATGGACTCTCATTTCCCACCTTGTATATCGGGTGCTATAGATGCACCGATATTGGTGGAAGGAGAGGGTAACACAAACATAGTTATTACAGCTGGCATGGTTATGGAGGCACATAAGAGCTTTGTACCCTATAAAGTTGCAGGAACCGAATTGCATTTTACCGGCACTTTTGCAGATGGAGGCGGGATTGGTTTCCGTATATGCAAGGGTAATATTTATACCCAAACCCAGAAGACCTAGTTATGCAACACCTAAGTCCTATCGACCGATAAGTCTTACGTCCTTCATATTTAAAACCTTCAAACGAATAGTCGCTAGCATAGTTAAAAGCGGTATACCAGACAAAGACCTAAAATATAAGCTTCAAAGCATGCATTGAATGAAGTTGTTCATTATATACATAGGTGAATCCTTCAATAGCAATCTGTATATACTGGTGGTATGCATTGACATCGAAGGCGCCTTTAATAACGTGCACACTGATACTCTTATCCAATCCTTACACCAGTTTTATGTTCACCGGGTGCTCTGTAACTGGATCAACTCATGAATAGGAATATAACTATCAGGAAAAAGGTATTTCGCGATACACAGGTGTCCTTTACTCTGAGTAACCACGATTAATAGCCTCCTAAGTATCCTAACCGAGCAAAGACTTAGACCTGCCGATATGCAGACGATGTTGTAGAAGACTCTAAATACGGCCTTGAGCTAGGTTAGAAAAATCGAAAATAACAGACATATTTGAAATTTTATAAATCTATAAGAAGATCATTAGTAGGAAGCATGTTTTAAAGCCAAAAACAAAATTCTGAATTATGCCAGTCTTGTAGTAAATATACATATAATTGACTGGATTACGTACTTTGTCTGTATCAGCGTCCATCCCAAAGTTTCCACTACCTTCATTTAATCAAAAGCCTCATCTCCCAAATCGGAAATGTGTCGCTAAAAATCAATAACAAGGTTTTAAAATGCCTTCCGTTATATGTATTTTATGACACTTTTATGAGGTAGTGGAAACTCTTTTATGTACATGTATCAATAGGCCCAGATGACATGACTTCCCACCTTCACCTTACATCACCTGAAGATACAATTTTTCTCAATTAGCCCTCAGTAAAAAAGGACCGCATTGAATCCACAGTCTTATTTGCTTGGGCCTTTTGTTGAGAGTCAAACTTCCAAACTTTCTCCAAATAATAATGTCTATCCACAAACAATTGCCGGTGTTCGGTGCCTGTTGTCCTAATTGAATTGGAGTGGATGAGAACATAAAGAGCCAAGATTCTGTGCAATCCTACCTGAATCGGTGTAGATGTTAACATATACAGATCATTGGTAGAATCAGAGTTAGGAAACAATTGCTGGAGTTCCGTGCAATTTTGCCCTAACTCTAGTTAACTTAAGGAAAACATGCTCTCAGACGGAAACAGATTTTCGGTTAAAATAAAATCGGTATGCTTTTTCCGAGTCGTTGAATTTAATAGGCCAAAACATAATACAGTAATACTAAAATTTATAATTATAATTATATATATACATATATATATATATATATATATATATATATATATATATATATATATATATATATATATATATATATATGGGATACATGATCCTTTTAGTAGTCCTATGTAATACAGGTATGCATCATGTTTATTTTTTTAAAAACAACATGGTCTATAGCAGCGGTTCCCACCGTTTTTTACTTCGCGGACCCCTTGAGGAATTTATTTAATTTCACTGGCCCCCATACATATTTTGATATCTTATTGTTATAAATAACACTGTGATACAAAAGTAAAGAAAAATAAAATGCAGGCGTTCTCATATACCAATTCTATTTCGTTATAGTCCATAGAGTACGAATATATTTTTAGTTTTCCCCTATCACTTCGTTAACTTACTTTTTAAGAGCAAAAGATGCGAAAAAAAGCCATTTTTGAAGTTTTAAATTTCAAAAATCATAAGTTTAGTAGTTTTCATCCGATTTTCAAATCCGATATTTTTTTTAATGATACAAGTGTCTTTTAATCCAAAAAAAGAAATCCAAAATTTATGGTCAAATGTCTGAGTTACGGTCGTTTAAGTAAAAAAACTCACACTTTTTTAAAAAATTTTCATTTTCATCATGCTCTACTTTGACCATGAGGCAGTGAGTTCATCTTTTATTACTTTCCTGAAGAATCACTTAAAGGAAGGTTTCTAAAACTTGTTATTTCATAAAAATCTATGATTTATGCCAATTTTTCTAATAGCATGTTTCTCGAATTTTTGGTTTTCTCCATACAAATTAATTTTTGTATAAAAATGTTTATAAACATTTTTTAAACTTGTTACAAAGAAAACCAGAAACATGAACGTTTTTGTATGGAAGAAATATGCTATATTTTTATAAAACTTAGCACAACTCATAACCTTTTTCATCGATTATGATAAATTGACCATCATTGGAAACCCAACTTAATGTGCCTTTTTTCAAATGTAATAAAAGCTAAAATTCATGGCCAACGTAGAGCAGTATGAAAATTAAAAATTGTGAAAAAAGTGTGAGTTTTTTTTACTTAAATGGCCGTAACCAAGACATTAATCATAAATTTTGGATTTATTTTTTTGGGTTGAAAGACAACACTTGTATCTTTAAAACAAAATATCCAATTTGAAAATCGGTTGCAAACTACCAAACATATATTTTTTAAAGTTAAAACTTCAAAAATAGCTCTTTTTCACATCTTTTGCTCTTAAAAAGGAACTAAACGAAGTGATCGAAAAAAATTAAAAATATATTCCTACTCTATGGACTATAACGAAATGGAATTGGTATATGAGAACCCCTGCATTTTTTGCTGTATCACTGTGTAATTGTTCGTCCGAAAATTGTCTTAGTCCTTGTCCATAAACCCTATAAAATATTGCCGTACATTGAGAACATTTAGTATTTCGGAGATGTTTTCAATTTCATGGTTTTAAATATAGAATGACTTCTAACATGATGTTTAATTTTATGATCGTGAGAGCCAAGGTATATTTATTTTATAAGGTAGTGTTAACAAAACAGCTGACTATTTTTTGCTCACATTCATGTTTTTTCGCCGCGGTGTAGAGTTAATGTCAAACTTTGTTTACGTTTGGTTAATGTATGCAAAATGTCAAAGTTTGTTTATATTTTTAATTTGACATTTAAAAGTGTGCTTTTAAAAAAAGGTATAAAACTGTTAGTTTTTATACCTTAATGTACAATTAAACAAAAGCTATTAAATTTTTAAAGAAAACAAAAGACCTTGTTTTAGGGTCTATATCAATATTTTTTGCATTTTATGGTCTATATCATACAAAAGGCAAAAAACTAGCACGGTACAGGTCGCAATTTTGAAGATAATTTGTTGAAATTTGGCACAAAGTCTTATTTTGGCCTAAAGGAGGTACTTATAGAATTTGGTTAATATCTGACCATGAATTCCCTTAGCCGCCATATAAATCTGCACTAGAATATGACTTTTTCGTTCATAAAAATCGGAAATGTATATTTATCAATTCTAAATTGAGCACACATAAGTTTTATACCAGCCAAAATACCACTATAAAATTTGGTAACGATCTTCCAACATATCGTGAAATGGTGCGGTTCAAAAAAATCAAAATCGCGAAAAAGGCCAAAATTACCCCAAAAATCTAAAATATCTGGCAAACTATAGATGATATCGAGATACGGGTTTCGGAATCGGTAAGAGCACCTCCAAAATATATAGAAACATAATTTTTTTCAAAAATGGTCGGTGGAGCAAAACAATAATATACTGACGATATATATTCCATTCTGTTTTAGTTCTATGTAGTTTAAGATTTCACTAAAAACTTGAAAAGGCAATTATTTAAAATAATTATATCCATAAATAATTGTTGAGCCTTTGTGTCCTTCTGCTGCAAACAAGCCTTCCACTGATCAGCCGACAAACGTTATTTTAGCATTTTCTTGTCTAGACCGAAGAGTGTTCCTAATAGGGAAAATCATTAAACAACTTTCTAAACGCTGGACAAATTCTTTGGCTACTTACGAAGAATTTTAACAATTTTATTATATTTCAAAAAATCTTTTATTTACAAACAACTTTTTTTTTTAATTTTTACAAATTCGCCTCATATTATAAATCAGCTGTTTTTGACATTGTGCCTACACCAGAATTCGCCTAAACAAAAACAAATACTGTACAGTGTTGTATTTCGATTCGCCCAAGTTTTTTTGAATTCGCCCTTAACACTACCTTATAAAATAAATATACCTTGGTGAGAGCTTTCATGTTCATTTCTCGTCAAGGTAGAGAAAAGGTTTCTTTAACAAGTATTGTCGACATGTGCTTAAAGAGTCATGTTTCTAAATTTTTTTGCGATTGCATAGGAGTGAGCTGAGTATGTAAGCTAAGTTTTCGGGAAAATATGTGAAAGTTAGACTTCTTCGATGTTGTTGCAGAATGCGTTACCCACATAAAATATGACCTGAACTCTTTGCGAATGTACTGTGAATTTGGATCTTAAATTTGAATTTTAAAATACCTACGAATTATTTTACTGCGTGGTTTTGACTATTTACGCAAAACGCTATGAATTGTCTGATGTTGATTTAATAATATTGGACAAAATGAAGTTAAAATCTGTGTATCACGTTGGAATGGAATATTTATATTTAAAATTAACTAGATTAACACTTTTGCTTACAATTTAAAAAAATATTATGAAATGTGACCTAACTTCATATTCCGGGATACCAGTATCAGTATTTAATTCTAAGGCAAATCATTATCCGTCTGCTATAAAAACATTTATTTCGATACATATATATTTTTAAAAATTACAAATCACGTAATACTTTACTTTATAAAAGTGAAACAATAAATTTGTAGGGCCTAGCTTCATCCTGATAAATGACCGAAACAATAAAATTCAAAGAGTCACCAACAAATCTGGATTATTGAATAAAAATTGTGTATTTTAGTATTTATGAAAAATTTGGAGATATTTTTAATATTTTCTAACAAATAGAGAATATTTTTTATTCATGATTTTTGTCGTTCGTCTTCGCGGACCCCCTAGGATTTTGCTACGGACCACTAGGGGTCCGCGGACCCCCTTTTGGGAACCGTTGGTCTATAGCATGCATTACATAGAACTATGTTGGAAGTCATGTACTCCAATAATTTAGAAATGCAGTAGTTTTGGGATTACTCTCATGTATTGAATGCATGGATGGTCCTCGCTAGCTCATCGCAATGTTAAATGGAGTGTTTTTTCTACATATATTTAGATTAGTTTTGGATCAGTCCTAGTCTTTTGAGGAGTACTCTTTACACACGTGTGCGGAGTAGTCTCAATTTTTGCAGGAATATTATAAAATTATATTATACATACATATGTATAAGGAATTCCATTTTAAGTTTAAACAAATTAACCAAGGTGGCCGTTTTCGATAATCATCCCTTTTCTACATTTCAATTCGAATCGAAATTTTCTCCGTTTGGCAACTTTGGTACTCTGCATTTCGATTCGAAGCCCCGTAACTAAAATAACAAGTAATAAAAACTTAGTTAAGATCGTTATGCAGAATACACATAATAGTAAAGCATTGCAATAAAATGTAATTGCTTCTTCTCTCTCTTACGATTCCGTTTTTTTTTTTTTTTTGAATACCAATTTTCGATCGTAGCGTATGCGTAAACGTAATCGAAATGCAGAAATGTCATTTAAGTGTTGAAAACTGTGGCAACTCTATAAATTTAAAAGTGCTTAACATTTTTCTTTAAAATAACATTACTTTTGATATTTTGAAGATAATTCAATTTATCTTTTTGGATAAGATCCCAGCAAAAACTTTTTAAGTAATTGAACAAAAATCGTATTGTTTTACAATATTTTTTAACACTTTTCAGTGAATTTCTTTATTTTATTTGTATTATTAATTATTAATATAATAAAAAATAAAACTATACTTATGTTAAGATGAAATTAAAACGAATATAAAATTCATAAATCTAATGTCATATTTAAGAAAAATAATAAAAAAACAAGTAGAAAATCTTATTTAATAGATTGCATTAAAACCAATTATATATATATTTATAAAATCATAAAGGAAAAAAATCAAACTATATAATGTTAAAAAATATTTAATATCATCAAATTAAATCAAATCGAATACATTAATACACTTATGTAACATGTATATGTTTAATTGTGTATATGGGTATTGGTATTATTATTATTTATAAATTTATCTTTAAGATGTTTTTTAGCTTTTTTTATAAAATTAAAATAAATACTTATGAAAGAAGTTAAAAAATTATGAAGATTCAAATGTTTAATTCGTACAATTATTAGTAAATTTCAGTTACATTCAGAATTTTAATTGTTTTTATTAGTGTAGTACGAATATAAAGTAGATACATATTTAAGAAAACACACAATTTGTCTGTCTGTTTCATTTAACCTTAACTATTATATACAGGAGTAATTTAAATTTTTATATATATTTTTTAATTTTATTTGCTTTTTGTTTGTTTTAGATGTAAGCAAAATAGTTTTGAATTTTGTCAGCATTTTTTAGGTTTAAATTTAGTGTTTTTTATATAATACAGCCTTTTTAAATCATACTTTTTCCGTTTAGTTTATTATTATTTTAAAAGGTAAACAAACAATTATTTACAATTTGAAATTTTGTTTTGCTCTTGCAGTAGTTTCTTTATTGTGAGGAGTTGGTATTACTGCTCTCCATCGCATTGTTGGCAGCATTTAATGCTGCGGCTGATACTTCTTTCATAGATTCAACTTTGGCTACTATTTTGAGAGCCGGTCCCAATTTCATTCCCATTGCATTCACCAAGTGATTTTCCTTGAGCAACAATAAGGCCTGGCCATCGATTTCTTGTTGCTCAAAATCATCAACGTAATCACTGCAACCAGGAAGATTCTTAATGAATTCGCACACATCCGACACCGTCCAGTTGGCCATCTGTGGCTGCTGTTCTACAGCGGGTGCAGCAGCCACAGCTACCACTGGAGCTAAGGGAGCTGTTTCATTTACTACTGCTGACATAATGGCGGCTGATGATATGGGAGACGCCTGTTGCATTTGGGATGCTGTTGTTACAATTGGCGCTAGATTTTGCATTATTGCACTATTATCGGTTTGCATTCTATCCACAAGTCCAGCTCCCACTGCCACCATGGGTGTTGTATGGGTTATTGTATTACCGATATCCATATTAATGCTATTGTTTAGTTGGCTGGTGTTGTTGGTGTCATTATGTGTAATGTTTGAACTGTTCATTGATTCAGCTGATTGTTGTTGTTGTTGATGTAGCTGTTGCTGCTGCTGTAGCTGTTGAGCTTGTGCAACCTGCTCACCAATCGAAGCTTTAGCCTGGCGTGCACATGCCGGTGAACAGAAACGTTTCTTTTTCAATTTCGTTTTATGTTCTGGTTTGCCACACTGTTCACATGCCACCATATCGGCTGGTAATGGACTCGTCGACAAATTATTGTTGTTGTTTGTATTATTGGAGGCATCATCCAAAGCTTGTTTCTTTTCTGTAAATGTACAAAAACAAAAATAAACAATTAGTAAAGTTGGCATTTAAAGGAAGTTATTTATTTTTTGAGATCAAAATGGTTTTACGAAAATAAAACGGTATTAACGAGTCAAGGAATAGGTCTGTATATGTCCGGTCATTTTGGTAATATTTTTGTAATTTTCAATAGAATCTAACAATTCTACATTTATTGTCTTTGATAAATTTTCGGTACAAAAATGTCGTAATAATTCGATTATTAAATACAAAAAAAAAAAAAATCAAAAAATGTAACCGTAACTTACGTGGTAATTCATCACTGTCATCCTTATCCGTGTAACGTTTTCTTGTAACTGGGAATGGCTCGTTCGCTTCCTGTATAATAAAACCATCAATGACGTGAGTCAAAACATTAGGTTTGATCATGGCTTTCGGCAGATCCTTTTCAACCTTAACAATCGTAGCACCAGGTGTCGACTTTGGTGGTGGACCACTTGTCTTAGTAGCAATAGGAGTGTTACTATTAGCTGTTGTACTAGTTGTAGTGGAAGTGCTAAACGTACTCGAAGTGGTGGTGCTAGAAGAAGTAGTAGTAATGGATGTGGTACAAGTGGTCGAGGAAGTAGTGCTAACGGCTGGCAAACATGATGACGGTTGAGTTGTTTCTTCGGGTGAAGAGGAAACAACTGATGAAATTTGTGCTGACGATTTTTCGCTTTCATTTGAAACACTGCCTTGTTGGCTGTTGGAAGATTTTTGGGATTTGGAAGGCGATGAATTAATACTATCTGAAGATGTTTGAGTGGTCGATGCCACAGCACTAGTATTAGATTGTTTGCTGGCTACAGATGACACAGATTCGTTATGGGATTCTGTGGTGTCCATGGGTTGTACAGCCATTTGTGGGGTTTCTGCGGTTGTTGGGGCAGTTTGATTGGAAGCTGTAACGGTTGGCGAATGCTGTTGCTGAGATGTTGCACTGTTACTAGAGGCAGTAGTGGAGAGGGTAGTAGGTGTGCTGGTCATCGCTCCTGCAGTTGTGGTGGTGGAAGCTTCAAAAGTTTTATCATTGGATTTTGTCGGTGTATCCTTTGAGGGTTGTTCGACTGTTGCCAAATGTACAGGAGTTGAGGGTGCAGATGCTGCAGGATTTACATTAATGTTGCCGGTAGATGGAGTGCTGGGTGCACTAGAAACAGTTTTTAATTGTTCCATGGCTGTTTTCGTGGGTGTGGCGGGCAATGAAGAAACGTTCGTTGTTGTGGCGTTGCCCATGGGCGAAGTCATCGCAACTGCTGTGGTTAGAGAGGAGTTTCCGGTAAGGTTGCCTCCAGCGGCTGCATTCATCATGGAAGCCATAGCTAAAATTGGATTTTGTGCTGGCGATGAAGGAGGTGGCATAACTGTAGATTGCTGCTGTTGTTGTTGCTGCTGCTGCTGTTGTTGCTGCTGTTGTTGTTGCTGCTGTTGTTGCTGCTGCTGTTGTTGTTGCTGCTGTTGTTGTTGCTGTTGTTGTTGCTGCTGTTGTTGCTGCTGTTGTTGTGCAACAGCTACTAAATGTTGAGCCTGCTGCAATTGTTGCTGCTGATGTTGTTGTTGCTGCTGCTGAGAGGCTGCTATAGTAGCAGCTATCTGTTGTTGCAACTGTTGCTGCTGTAATTGTGCGGTTGCTTGATTAAGGCCCACCGTACTGGTAACTAAAGGACCTGTCTGGTTAGATATTGTCACCACTGAAGTGGTGGGCAGTGAATTAGATGTTTTCGTTTGATACGTCACATGTTGCTGTAAGCCTTGTGATGTTGCTATAGAAGCTGGCGTCGAGGAAGAAACTGAAAATGGCACAGCAGTTATTTGCTGTTGCAACTGCTGTGTTTGCTGTTGTTGTTGCTGCTGCTGTTGCGGCGATTGTTGTACCACAATTTGATGTATAATATTTTGAGACTGTTGTTGGTCTCGCTGCTGCTGTTGTAATTGTTGTTGTTGTTGCAACAATTGATTTTGTAGCTGTTGCTGCTGCTGGGCCGTAATAAAGCCTTGAGGACCAACTTGCAATTGAATTTGCGGTTGTTGTTGTTGGGCTTGTCCTACTTGCTGTTGCTGCTGCTGTTGTTGCTGTTGTTGAGCTGCCACAACTTGTTGCAGTTGTTGCTGCTGTTGATGAACTGCAGCCTGCTGTTGCTGCAACTGAATTTGAGCAAATTGTTGTTGAATCAATTGCTGCTGCAAATACTGCTGTTGTTGCTTTTGTATTTGTTGCAATTGTAATTGTTGCTGCTGTTGCTGCTTATCAACAGCCTGCTGAAAAGTTTGACCATTCTGTATAGTGATTGGGGTGCCAGCACTCATAACCACCATTCTGTAAAAAAAATTAGAAAAAAATTATTTTTCTATTCTCCAATTTGTATGCTTTGTTTGCTACTTACTTGTGCATGGTCGGTTGACCCTGTTGCTGTTGTGTTGCAACGTTAGATGTTATTTGCTGCTGCAGCCCTGCCACAGTAGTGGTTTTAGTCACTTGCTGTTGTTGTTGCTGCTGCTGCACCTGTTGCACAGTTTGGGGTTCAGTCTTCATGGCCGGCAGAGCAGGACGTACAGCTGGCTGCTTTGTGCGCATCTTTTGTTTAAGTAAACTTTGATTTTGAGCTGTTTGTGTGGATACTGATGAAGCTGGGCGTATTTGGGCACCACCAGCTTGGGGTAGAATTTGTGTCTGACCACGTTGTTGGTTTGCAGCGGCAACGGCAGCAGCTGCTTGTTGCTGCAGATGAGCCTGGACAACAGCTTGTTGTTGTTGCTGCTGGACATTATTGGCCTGTTGTTGTTGCTGCTGTTGAACTTGCAATTGTGTGGACTGTTGTTGCACTACCTGCTGGGAGTGAGTTTGTCCCGTTTGCTGCTGCTGTTGTTGCTTAGCAGCAGCCAATTGCTCCAACTGGGTACGTGGCTTTGTGGGAGTTTGTGTGACATTACATTGCAGGGTTATTTCTGAAATAAACAAAGAAAAATTAATTCACTTGACGAAGTTAGCGAGGTAGTAGAACTTACGATTTGGTTGTTGAGTCTGCAGTGTTTGTCCACTGGGTTGTTGTATGAATACTCCCGGAGTACCATCCGCCTGTGTGCCTCTTATTATAATAGGGGGATTTTGCGTGAGTTGTTGCAAACCGTTTGACCAGAAGGGCACACTTTGTACCCAAGGTGTGGCGTTAATTTGCAACGGCTGTGGTTGGCCCGTAGCCTGTTGCAGGGGACTAATAATTTGGGTGGTGCCAGCTGAAAGAGCTCCAGTTTGTGCATTGACCTGTACACATTGTTGGGTGGCCTGTTGTTGTTGCTGTTGGGCAGCAGCTGCTGCCCCGGCTGACGACTGTACATTATTCGTTGTGGTGGTTACTTTTTGTACGACTTTTTGCTGTAGATTCTTCTGAGCATCCACTGCACCTTTTTGTTGTTGTTGTTGCTGCTGCTGCTGCTGTTGTTGCTGGGCATTAGCAGCGGCTGTCATTGCTTGGAGAATGTTTTGTTGCTGCTGTTGTTGAGATTGTGATATGACATTGACCGGAGAGAAAAGCAAAGTCTGTGGAGATTGGCTGGAGGGTATGGCGTAGGTGGTACCACTAGGGAACCCCGTATTGCCCCCAATGGCCATTTGCTTTGTGTTTTGTGTAGTGGCAATCATTTGAGGACCGCCCGATTGAAATGGCTTGCCAGCAGCTATAACTTGAATGGGTTGCTGACCCAGACCCGATTGTATGAGATTGCCGGGCACCAACATTTGTGGATATATGAATCCTGTGGACGGTTGCATTAGCTGTACGGTACGACCTTGAGTCCAATCACCCGTGGCCGTTACTTGGCCTGTGGCTAATTGCATGGGTGACATTGTGCTAATGGTGGTCGAATGTTGTTGCTGCATGGCAGCCACAGCTGCAGCACTAGTGGGTGTGTGCTGTGTGGCCGGGCTATTTTGTCCGGCGCCTCCATTTGCATCGGCTGCCGCTTGAGCCAATTGCATTTGCATCTGTTGCAATTGACCATCTAGAAGGCTGGGATGTTTGATTTCAGTAGTAGAGCCTCCGTGACCTGCCAACGTGTGTTGCTGTGTGGGAAATTCTTGTTTAACTTGGATGGCAGCAAATGGCGAACCATGTTGCAATTGATGATACTGTTGTAACTGTTGCAATTGTTCTGGCGATATTTGTAGTGGCACCGTGCCAGGTGCCACCTGTTGGGCTGGACTCTGTGACTTCTCCAGCGTGAAGCTTTTGTTGGAGCCGTTAGCAAATGTATATATATTAGTTGTAGATTTATTCGCTTGAAAATGAGACTGAGAATTTGGTGGTGGTGTTGAGGCTGACTGTGACACCGAAGTTGTTGTGTTGGTGGCTGCTACTGACGAGGGAGCAAAATCGTATTTTTCGTCAAATGTTATGCCCGCCTTTTGTGCTAAAGTTTCTAAACACTTAAGCGGTCGTTCGTTACCACCACCAGATGCTGGTGCACTGGTGTTATTAGGAGATACTTTAGGACTGCCGTTAACGTTTGTAGATGGGTGGGAGTTGGAAACTTTTGAATGAGTCAAGTATGTTGCACTAGAGTGGTTGCTGTTGTTGTTATTGTTACCGTTTGTAAAAGTTGTTATTTGTTGTTTCTGTTCGTTTAAGTGCGCTTGTTCAGCATTGAATTTAATTATTCGTATATTTGAATTATCCTTTAGAGGTTGTGTAGGCAGATATGTGCTGTTTCCAGTTGTTGTTGAGTTTTCACTTTCTCTTGTAGCCGTAGTTCTGAAAACGAAAAACAAAATTAATAAATTATTTCAGTGTACATTGGTACATATGTACATTGGTTTATGTCTATAGAATCTACAATGTACACTATAAACTACGAGATTATTTAGCTTTAAAAAGGGAAGATTCTTTCCACTTGCCATAAGTAAGTTATGTGCTCCAAGCAAGTCTTCAATAAAGAAATCCCCTGTTTTGTAAAAAAACTAATTTAAACTCACTCTCTTTGTTTTGTTTTGGAATAAATTACACCAAACATTCTCATCCCTTATTTCTATTACCGTACATCAAAAATGGCAAAAATATTTAATAAGAATTTCCGCCATACATTGAAAACAAATAAAAAGCAAAAGTAGTCATGGGAAGTATACCTTTTTTGGTACTTTTTTTCCACTAGTATGGTGTCAGAAAGAAAACACCCCCACCAAGACTTGCAATTTTAATAAGGTAGTCTTTATCATACACTTTGAGTGCAACCCTTCCATTAAACACAACCCTTCTTTATATTTACTGGAGAAGACAACACAAGGCTGAAGTAACAGTGGTGAGCTCATGTGAGCCTATTTTATTTTGTATAAAATTATATTTAAAAATACTTTTTCTTCAAAAAATTATGATTTGTGGAAGCGTAAATAAACACAAACAATTTAGTGTAATTTTTTGCATATTAGGTGGAATCATTGTATACTTAACAAGGTACCAGCACTTGAGAGCGATCGCACGATTGTAAATTTTTTTTCATATGGAGTTTGACAAACGTGCGTTTTAAGCCTGTATACAAGTCTATGTATAAAAAATTGTAAACAATGATCTGCTGGGCTAGTGATGTCACCTTGTATTTAGTACACCCTGGATGGAATCAACTACATGCTTAAAGTTGAGGAGCAGAATACTTTTTGCGAAAATACTTTTGGACAGTCATCCTTTATTCGTATAAGTTTAATTTAAGGGTTGGACGTCATCTACTTTTTTAGTGTGACAGTTAAAAGGAAACCTTTTTTGCTGCAAAAAGGTGAAATTAAGAAAGAAATTTAGGAAAATGTTTACTTTTCATCGGGGAAAAAAGGGTTGGAAATATTTTTTTATTTTTATTGTACAGCTGGTTAAAACTATTTAAAAAGAGTTTATTTGCATGCTAGACCACTGCTAAAACAATTTTTATAGTGAGGACAAACATTCATATGTAAGGAATTTTGTATTCAAAATTATATTATATTCAAAGGATCAAAAGAATGAACTTAGCATAAATTTTGCAAAATATGGATATTTTAAATTTTCCGAACTCGATAATGTATTTAAGTGCTTTTAATGTCAATTTAGCCACATTTACACAAATAAACATGGTTATATAATCGACTTTCGACTTGTTGTCCAAGTCGACTATTTGTCCACAAAAAAAACGTTCTTTGTAAATTGAAAAAGTCACAAAAATTTATTTTTTATAATTTGCAAAATGTAAAAAATCGACTTTTTGTTCCAACTATAGAACCATAACCTCATATCTATACTTTTTTTTTCCGGGTTTTAATTAGGATGGCGGTACATTAAGCATTCATATTGCCAGGTTATCACACGTTTGTCCAGAGAAAACCCCACCAACCGACCTATACCTTCATATAGGAAGTTGGAGCATCCGGACTTAATTTCATCAAAAGTATTAATGGTCTCCACCAGAAAAAAGTTTTAGAGTTTTAATGGTCTCCACCAGTAAATATTTGAGTTTAAATGGTCTCCACCAGGTTATATCGTGAGTATTTTATGGTCTCCACCAGTTAAATACATAACCTCACTCTGAGGTAAAACGAAAGCACGCGTTTAATGAAGACAACGCATAACTTAGAACAGTTATACGAAGTAGTGCATTAAATTAGTGCGGGGTGAGAAGTAATTCTGTCGAAAGCCCAGCAACAAGCACAAGCCTGACCGTCCTTAAGAAATAAAAACGATGACGCGAGAGTTGTTCCCCAACTCAGACCTGAATTACAACTGATATCTATACTTGACAAATATTTATCACAACACTTAACCCCGTGTCTATATTAGCCAAATATTTATCACGATACTTGACAAAACGTCGGCAGAAAAATTGTCAGTTTTTTGTTTATGTTAATGCATAGGGGTAACAAAATGCTGATTTTATCACGACAACTCACAGATAATTTTATTGAAATAATGCTAAATTTTATAAAAACAATTTAAATTTAATGAAAATTTTGTAAATAAACACTAATTTCACTAAAACTTATGTTAAAAATCAATTTGAATTGCACAAAAACAAAATTCTAAACAAATTTTACAATAAAATGACGTTTGTTATCAAGACAACGTTGTCTAAACAATTGTTTAGACAACACTGTCATAACGACGTTATAACGCTAATAGATGCCGTCTGTACCTGCTAATTTTTTATCATGATAATTTGACGTTTAGCATAATAAATATTTTTCTAATATAGACACGGGGTAACAAAACGTCCACAGAGCAATTGTCAACGATTATATCAATGCATATCCCATGTCTATATTAGACAAATATTTATCACAGCACTTGACAAAACGTCGGCAGAAAATTATCAGTTTTTTGTTTATGTTAATGCGTAGGGGTAACCCCGTGTCTATATTAGACATATTTATTATGCTAAACGTCAAATTAGCATGTACAGACGGCATTTATTAGCGTTATAACGCCGTTATGACAGTGTTGTCTAAACAATTGTTTAGACAACGTTGTCTTCATAACAAACGTCATTTTATTGTAAAATTTGTTTAGAATTTTGTTTTTGTGCAATTAAAATTGATTTTTAACATTAGTTTTAGTGAAATTAGTGTTTATTTACAAAATTTGCATTTAATTTTAATTGTTTTTATAAAATATAGCATTATTTCAATTAAATTATCTGTGAGTTGTCGTGATAAACTCAGCGTTTTGTTACCCCTATGTATTAACATAAACAAAAAACTGACAATTTTTCTGCAGACGTTTTGTCAAGTGCCGTGATAAATATTTGTCTAATATAGCCACGGGGTAACGCGTCTGCAGCGAAAAGTTCGGCAACTTTCAACTTTTGACGCGTAGGCAGCTGATCAGGGTGGTATTTTGTTTTGTGTAGAATAATAATAAACTAAAATGAAATAAATTTCTCCAAAATGGAAGAAAAATATTTTAAAAAATATACAAAAACTTTATAAGCTGCAAGTTACCACGCGTAATTTCTTTCTTACTTTTTTTGTTTTAGAGCCATTTACTATTCTAAAGATAATAATTTTATATTATTTTTATTTTTTATATATTTTTCTTTCAATGTTGGCAAAATTTCTTTATACACAAAACAAAATCAACTGCCGACGTGTCAAAAGTTGAAAGTTTCGGAACATTTCTCTGCAGACGCTTTACAAACCTGTTAAATAAAAATACACTGTCAACTTTTTTGACAGAAGTCTATAACGCGTTGCCGCGTACAACGCATGTTGTTTACTTCCACCTTAAAACTTATATTAATATACTATTTTAAATGCACAAAAACCAAATTTCAAAAAATTTTACAATAATTACGTTTGTTATCAGAGAGAATTGTCATACCGCTATATATTGCCGCTTGAAGACGCAAACTTTGGCACTTCACAATAGTGTTCAACTATTTTAAAAGCATCCGATTGCGGAAAAAACCTTTTCGGCAAAGCAACATTAAAACAAGTAAGAAAGTGTGGACGGGTATGACCTGGTTCACACTAGGAAACTTTTGTTAAGAAACTTTTTCTTAATTCTCTTTTGAAATTTCCTTAATTTATGCAAACATAAAACTTATTTGTGCCAATTTTTGAAGAAAAAGTAGTTTATTTGATATAATTGTGAGTTAAAACCCCCAAATCGGAGTATCTGGTTTTATGGAGGCTAGGTGAAATAAAAAAGTGATTCTGAGTTGATTGGTATACTTTAAGGTGGGTGTAGGACAAATATTTTTTGCGTTACAACCATCAGTGCAAACGCATAATACCCTTCCCATGATAGTGGTGTTGGTATGAAAAGTTTAAGTTTATTGTATTATATTTATTTTTAAAATAATGGGAACCATGTAGAAGAATAATATCTTTCAAGATATTATTAATTTTAACTTTAAAGGCAAGACTTTATGGTTTAACTGTCGTGTTAAGTACATTTCTAAAAATATTGTAGGTCGTAAAGTGCTAGAAGTATTTGTGGCGCCCTGACATTGCCAATCATTAAAGCCCAACATTTGTTTCCATTCTACTTTGCTATTGTGTATTTCATTTGATTTTCGAAACAAAAAGTCTAATGGTGTAAAAACCACATAAGTGCCGGTTCACACAGAACAACTTTTGTTTCGCAACTTTTAGATTTTGCGAAATAGAGAATAAATATGATATTTGAGTACCAGTATGCGATTACATTTTGCAAAATGGCACTTAAAAAATGTTTTCGAAAAAGATTCTATAATCCTATATTTAACTATTATTTACTGTTATTTCATAAGAACAAAGTTGTCTAAACAATTGTTCTGACAACTTCATCATAACTATGCAATAATGGTAATAAATAGTGACTATATCTCATAATTTTCGATCATGATAAAAATTTGACGTTTAGCAAAAATAGGTCAAATATAGACATATGTCCATTTATGATAATTTTTTTTAATATGTTTATATTAAACTTTGACTCCTTTGAATACTAACATCATGTCATTTGTTTTCTAAATCTCTAAATTAGTGAAATTTAACCCCATGTCTATATTAGACAAATATTTATTATGCCAAACGTCAAATTGTTATCATGATAAAAAATTAGCAGGTATAGACAGCATTTATTAGCGTTACAGCGTCGTTATGACAGTCTTCTTGAATCACTGATAAAAATGAGGTAACACATTCTTTATGTAATTTACAAATTATTTGTGTTGAATTTTTGCGGATACCTAAAGAGATTGATCCATTTGAATGGTCCCACGCATTATATATTCTCTAAAAAGGTTTGTGAGTTATAAAAAATAAAATCTAGTCTAAAAAATAGAATCTTGTGTTACAAAAATTAAGAACTCAACCAAAAATTGCCTAAATAATTAGTTTAACTCATATTAAAACAAATAAAAGAATTATACGTCGATTTGGCAATCTTGTTTTCTATGCGACACGAATATAAAGTAAAAAGAAAGAAAAACTAAAATGTAAACAAACCAAATTATGGGGAGCCTTCTTCTTCTTCTGATATGTTTTGGGACATAAACAAGATTTGTTTTTTTTTTTTTTTTTGTTTCTTTTTAATACCAATGTATTAAATTTCTTCTATATTTGGAGAAGCAATTTTTCAATAGAGGGAGGAGGAAGGATGTTTGAAAGAAGACAAAAACTGGCGCAGACAGTAAGCCAGACAACGAACAACTTGCTGACAATAAGGCCATGGTGAGAGGTCTAGATGGGGGTGTAACAGCAGCAGTGCAGCAGACATTAAAATTATGTATGTCTGTCTGTTTCTTGGTCTTCTCTCTCACCTTTTTGAAACATTGTGTGTGTAGCAATTTCATTACTAAAACGAAACCCTACTTATTGCTTTTCATGTTTTTTATCTTTCTTACGCCATCACAATTTTTCGGGCATTAAAAGCAACAAAATAAAGAAATCAACATAAAACAAAAATGAAAAAACAAATGCAAGACAACCATAATCATCGTCATCATCATCAATTATACAAATATACGAAAAGAAAAAAATATTACAAAAAAACCTTTTTAAAAAGAAGAAAATAAACATACGGTCCAAAATTGTATAGAAACCATTAACGTAGGCAGGCAACAAAGGCAACCCATGACGACTGGGACTATATGAAGGTTTTTTTCCAACGCTCAAAGCAACAACAACAAATCACAAATGTTATTAACACAACATACAAAACATAGAAAACTTAAATTTAATCCCTCTTTGGGAAGAGCAAAAACAACAAAACACAGAAAAAATAAATAAAAGAAACGAAACGATAGAAATAAATTAATATTGTACCGTAGCATACCATGCCATGTCATACTACACTCACTAACAGAGGAGTACAATTACAAAAACAATAGCTAACAAACAAAAAAGTATTATGTTGTTGTTCTTGTTATATGAATGCTTGCATGCACATTTTCATTTTAATTTGTTTCTCTTCATATTGTTGTTGTGCTTCTTTTTGTAGTACATGTGGTGGTCGATCGTCATTGTTTTTTTTTTTTTTTTCTTTTCAGCCATCGTTTGATTTTTTTTGCTATTAAATTTTACCAGATTTCTGTTTTGTATCGTGGTGTCATAAATACACACACTCATACACATATTCGTACCGAGTGAGGAGGTTGAGGTTGTATTCTTCTCGTAGAGCCGGGTAGTGGGTTTAAGTGCGCGCGCATTATTTGGCATTTTATCGATTTATTTTAGATACAGATTTTTTGCTTAGGGTAAAAATGTACACACACACTTAAGGGCAAAACACCAGTGAATTATTATGGTTAAGAATGAGAAAGAGAGAATGGGAAAGAGACATAGTGGAATTTAAGTCTTGAGCAGTAAGTGGGACAGAGATAGATGATGGGTTAACATACTACATATATCTATCTTGAAACTGCAATATTTTGTGTAAAACTAGGGTTGCCAAAGTGGAATTTGTACATCCTCTCATTTTGTTAATTTCATCCAACGTGTTTTTACTCCCCAGCAAATAGCAAACTTTATTAAACGCGAACCACTTTTTTCCCGGGTAAATGATGTAAATTTATGTAGAAGTTGCAATAACATAGTAGAATATATTATAAGTAATATTCTCTGCAATATAGATTGAATTTGGAGACTTGAGGAATTGTTGGTCAGCTATCTACACTAACCAAAAATTGTTGTTCCTTTTTAATATACTGATTCTTTTATAGAATGATGTCCTTTATTTGGTTACAAATTGTAAAAATGTATCGTTATTGATTCAAGACATATCCCTTTCTGTGATTTTGTCGAAGAAGTATACATATTTGATATTACAATATAATATTTACAGTTAATAGTAAAAAATAGTATTTTGGGTGATCGGACTAAACTGATCTAAATTGTAAGTATTGATACAAGTGGATGTAGACTTTTTCCCAAACAATATCCATATAAAATATTGGTGATACTTTTTGGTTACCATATTTCCAACGTCGAATATATTCGACTTTTAACTTTGAGCTACTTTAACTCACTAGGGATAACTCAAATTCAAAAAATATTATTTTTCCCGGATTCACCATATTCAAATTATCTTATAGCCCATTCAGTCCAAATGAAATTAAGTAATTTCCCATACATTTTGTTAATTTGAAATCAAGTAATTTTGCTTAATTTTATTGAAACCAACTTTGAAATCACAATGAATCACCCTGTCTTAGTATAAAAAGTACCTATTTTTACAACTATGCACAAAACAAAAAAATAAAAAAGTGAAAACCAGACAAAAACAATAAAATTTAATAGAAATTGTGTAAAAAATTGTAATAAAAGTGATTAAAAGTTAAATAAGTGTAATTTTTCGCAAAAGAAAGAATTTTGCTTGCAAGCTAAATCCGTTGAAGTGTCAAAAACACCAGTTACTTAATATCGACTCGGTCTGAATGGGCTATTAAATATAAGCTTTTTCATCCAGGATTAAAAAAAGTAGATCGATAAATAAAATATGTACTCCAATTTTGAACTAAATACCTACATTGATAATAAATCCATTTATAATTTTTTCAAGTGGTAACAAATGTTTGTGTTACCAAAGAATTATTAGGCTTTAAAATGAACTAATGTGCGTAACAGCTGTATCGAATTACTTTAACACATTTAGACACATGTGTAAGGTTTCATGTGTTTGTGTATTTGTATTTTTATACCATGATTTTGGCAACTCTCATTAACCCTCTAAATAAATCTGCAATTTTATTCTGTTGAATGACGTTTGCCTAAAAGTTCTTTTGTAATTTAATCTTTTCCCTTTGGTCTTTCTTTTCTTTTTGCAATGATTTTAATTTTCCTAAAGGAAATATAAAAACAACATGGACAAAAAAACAACCACCGACATTGAAATTCTTTAATACACGAATATAAAAACAAAATATAGAAAACAAAGTAGATGAAGGGAGATACAAGCCAGGAATTAAGAAAATCCATTTGCAAAAACTAAAAATGTCAAGACATTAAAGTGCGCATAGGCAACACTTTAAGTTAACAAAAACAACACAAAAGTAACATTGACCAAAGGAAAAGATACAAAACAAACAAAAAACAAAATATAGCAACAAATTTGAATTAAGAAAAAACCAACAACAATTCTAAAGCAGAAGCAGCAGTTGTCAACACAGCGGGAAACTGGTTTTTGATAAATGTGCATTTTGGGAATTCAAAAAAGACATCGTCAGACAACCACAATAACGAAGTGTCTGACTAGCTTACCGTCGTTCATGTACTTTTGTTTTTGGCTTTTTGTTGGTGTTTGAAAAAAAAAAAAGAAAAAGGAGATGAAAAATACTTAAAAACTTTTTTTCGAGTAAATTTTCTACTACAATTTAGTATTTTTTTCATTATCGTGCCATTTTATAGTTGTATGTTGTGGGTAAGCTGAAATTTAAGTGGTGAGTTAAAGGTATATTCTTGTACTCTATTACGAATAAATGTGTATAGAAAAAGAAGAAGACAAGATAATGTTTAAAATCCTCTTCGGCGATGGAAATAATTTCATAAAAAATTATCTAAATTTTAAGAAAACTTTTTAGTAATGAATATTTATTTATTTATATTTTACAAATTATATTTTAACCTAATTTAACGAGCAAAGTGACGATTTGACTTCGAAAAATTTTAATTTAAATTGTTTATGATAATTTAAATATTTCTTCCAGGCAAAATATTTGACTTGTGATAAATAAGTTACAACTAATTTTACACACTGTTAGCATTTCAACATTTCTGCACATGTAGACCCAGATGGCGGCGGAAATTTAATGAGCTAAGAAACAGTTGAACTTGGAATCTGTATATAAGAACTATACTTCCGATTTCCGATTCACTTAGTCCGTGTGATCACAAATGTATAAAGTTAACCAGAAAAAGTCAATACAATAGATATCTACATATGTACATATTTGAGGAGAGTCAAGTATCGAAAATAGCAATAACGTCCGAAAATAAAAAATAATACAGTTTAGACCGCAGTTTTTTCAGAAATGCACAGTCCACATCATTGTAGTAGATAAAAATAAGGATGAATAATTACAATATTCGGCTGAAATACAAATGGACTAATGCAAGGGTAATGTTATGTACTTTATTTAATTATTTCGTTTAATAATATTAATACACAAAATTTTCAAGATGGAAAAACTATTTGTGCCTTAAAATCTGTTGATGCAGTAATACATTGCGAGGAACATTAATTTACGCCAAGAAACAACTTCAAAACCTATAGTACACACATAAATACCAGACATCAGCAGGCACTGACTGTGTAAGTAATAAAAAATGAATATTGCAACAACAACTAACGTAAAGAAGAAATAAACAAAAGAGAAGCGAATAAAAGAAGAAAACGAAGTGAAATATTCAGAAAATTGTATTGCATGCAAGAAACAATTTCATGTCATAATGAATGTTATTACAAAACTCTAGCAACAACAATATGCAGTTGTTTTTGTTGGTTATTGTCATAAAACATATTTTTTTACATTTTTAATTATTAACTCATAATAATTTATCGTAGATGTATTAGGGTATTTTTTTTTAGATTGTTTATAAAGATACGAATGTAGAAGCCATTAAAAAACTCTGAAAATGATGGTAAAACTTCAAAAGGTATAGCGCAAAATTTACAATAACAATAGTGACAATTTTATTTTGTTAATTATCTTTTTTTGGAATTTGTAAACATATAATGAAAAGTAAAAAGCTACATGATCAGCTGTTTACTTTTCGTTTTACTTTATAAGTTTAAGGACCAGTTTTTTACGTGTGTGTAATAGTAAATATATGTATAGTGGATTGAGATCGCTGTATACATACATAATCGTTGTAGTGACAAATTCTATAAAAATAAGTGTTTTTAAATTTTTGTTTTCGAATAAAATTCAACACAAATAACTCTCAAAAAAAGGTCTGTTATAATGGTTAATTTTTAAAGCCCAAATTCATTAATTAGTAAAAACTTAATAAAAAATTTTATTCAAATAACATTAACAAAGTAAGATTTTGTATATTTAATAATATTTTTATAAATAAAGTTATATTTGTGCATATTGTAATGAATACAAAAAGCAACAACATTAAGATATTTAAACAAAAAATAACTTAGAATCCCCAAGAAATTCCTAAAACTTTATATTAAATATACAAAAATCCCCTTGTCATAGAAATACAACTCTGTTTGTTGTGAGATGTGTTTGTTGCACATGACAAAACAAAAACAACAAAAGGAGAAAGAAATGAGCAAAAAGAGAAACAAATACACAAAGAGATAAATAAATATGTATACATACGTAAAAACAAAACAATACAAAGTGCCAGAAGAAGAAAAAATACGAAAATAGTATGAAAAAAGAATAGAAAATAAAGTAAAACTACCAAAAGAAAACAGACGGTTTACACTAAAAGTAAAAATTAATTACTAAAAGAAATGTATAGAAATCAAACTAAAATATGTTGAAATTAATTCAATAATTAAAATACAAGAAAAAATAAAAGCAAAATAAACGTGAATAAAATAATACCTTCTTGGATAAACTTTTAAAGCACGACGATCCATCGTTTAAAATAAAATCGAATTTAAACGAAATGAAATTATTAAAGCATGCAACATCATCATAGTTCCTTTTTTTATTTATTTTTTTCTATCTTATATTTTTTGAAACAATTATGTGTCTCACACTTTTTTTATTGTAAAAAATAAAACACACAACAATTTATAGAGCGACAAAAAACGTACAAACTCAAACTAAAAGTTCAAACACAACCACAAAATTTAGGGTAAAAACTTGAAAAAAAAAACAATAAATAAATTGTTGTTGTGTGTATGTATGTAGTGGTGTTTTTTATATTTTTTCTTTTCTTTACAAATTAAAATTTGTTTTTTCTTTTTGAAAGTTGGGTTTTTTTTATTAAATAAAAGTAATAAATTAAATTTGTTTTTATTATAACAAAAAGTAGAAATTAAGGTGAAGCACCTGTATAGTTGTTAAAGTATGTATCACGGGCGTATTTTGTTAATTATCATTGACAAAACTGATGATGATGACAATGAGGACGAGTAGCTGCTGACTGCACTTATGTAAACGCATTAAAGTTGTAAAATTTTCATTATCACTGCAATATTTAATTTTAAATTCATTGCTTTAATTTTTTCATTATTAATTATTATTTGTATTCCATTTTCTTTACAAATTTATATTTTTTTCTCTTTTATAGCATTTTTTCTTTTTTTCACAGTGTTAAACATAGAAACGCGTTCCAACCGAAAAACACAACCAAACTCTCTAGCTTTCAAACACGTACTAAACGGCAAATCTATGTGAAACTAAAACACATACAATACTTCTTCTTCTCTCGATAACTGGTTTTTCCCATAATGCTCTCTATCACTCTCTGGCTCTTTCTGTCTTCTGTTTTACATATAAATTCTGTATAACAAAATATACGTTAGAGCAGTACTATAACGCTAAGTTCTGTCTTTTTCTCACACACAGTTTTTTTGTTAGTGTAAATATCTATTTCTACCTCTCTGCTACCCTACCTAAATCGCATACTAATGACTATTTTTTGGTTCTTCTTTCACACGGCTTGATTATCATGGATATTTTTATTGTAGTTTTTTTCTCGTTTGAGAAAATTAAAAATAGCTTCGTGTTTAGGGAAAACAACAAAAAAATTAATGATATATGTTCACGATGGTGGTGGTTGTGATGGTGGTGGGTAAAATGAGTGTGTTTGTTCATGTTGAGGAAAAACAACAAAAAATTGTAAGTGTGCGATGGTGGTTGTGGTGATAGTTAAAAGAATGTTTGATAGTCGTGATTTACACCGAGTCTTTTTGGGCTGAACATATTTTTGTTTAAAAATCTTTTTCGTATAATGCTTGTGTGAGAATTTTTATATTAAGATTAGATTTTTAGATAGTCAGATTAAGTGGCAACTTTAAATGCATATTTGAACAAGGCAACAATGATGTATGTTCAGAAAGTATAGTCCGAATTTGGGACCCTACTTTAAGGTTCCCGCATATTTTAATACACTTCTCATGATGTTTATATAACCTCGGAACCCTTACATATTTTGAACATTTGAAAGAACTATATCAATTCACCAAGACTGTGTTGATGGTTTTTATTGTACTTCATAATTTTAGACTTAATAGTAATATAGTACTAGTCTTTTATAGAAACTCACAAGAAAAGTGGTAAATTCGCAACTTCTAGGGAACCAATTGACATTTCTGATGATTACTATATTTAGTGCATAAAAGAGTGTCTTTTTGAGAGCTTATACATCATATTGCTTAAACATGATGGTTCAAGTTCGTATCTTCTATTTCAGCCCATAAAAACACAATGGATCTGTAGCTGTCGAATTCTTGACATTATTATGTATTCGATGTTCTCAAAGATATTTTCTGACATCGTTCATAGAATAGGATTTATCCTATTTATGCAAAAACATATGTTGTCATTGATGATCAGGTCTCAACCAATAAACAACTGCAACATCAACTGGCCAGATTGGTTAATAGCAAAAATTCAATAAGTAAAATTTTGTTTTTATGTTTCACTCCAAACTTAGCTTTCTTTAAATTAGGATTAATATATGCTCTTAAAAATTTGTAAAAAGCGCATTTGCCAACCAATCCGAAAACCGATGCAACTTAACAATGGAAAACTATAAGTTGATAACCTGCTAGGGATATTTTCGAAGTGAATAGGCGTCGTAGTCGATGGATCCCAAATACCGACTGTGAACCACCCAAAGATGTTGGGGGTCACCTTTGACAGCCTGTTTACCTCCTCAGCTCATACCACTGCAATTACGCACAGATTGCGAAGTAGAAACAAGGTTCTCAAAGCGCTAGCCGGCAGCACTTGTGGAATGGACAAAGAAACCTTGTTGGCTATCTATAAAACCATTGGCCGGACAGTGGTAAATTATGCTGCTCCAGTATGGACTCCTTCGAGGAGTGATACCCAGTGGAGAAATATTAAAAGCTGGCAAAATGCTACCCAACGGACAGTAACGAGCTGCATGCAAATAACCTCGGAGGACCACCTACACGAGGAAACGAAGGTCCTCCCAGTCAAGGAACATAATGTCATGTCAGGAAGGACCCTTGGATCGGAGTTCGTAGTTTTGAACGACATTTATAGAGATGCCAGCAATTAGGCGGTTTCAGGTTACCGCATGAATTTTGCCCATAGCAGAAATAGAGAAGAACCTGCCGCAGAAAACAAGTGTTGCTCTGGCACAACTAAGATGGAGGATGGAGCAACAGGCTCATCTCCTACTGGTTCCGCATAGACCGTGCCGTCCCCAATATATGCCCAGTATGTGGACAGGGTCCCCATGACACCCACCACATATCCAACTGTTCAGACCACCCTACTTCACTTAGCCCAATGGATTTTTGGACTAAACCTATTGAAGTAGCCCAATTTCTTTGCTTGGACCTAAATACAGAACCAGATTAAAAATTGTATAGTTTAAGCTGTTACAACAACAACGTTAGTGCAAATTATTGTATTTTTCGGATGCATTGACTTGAACTGCTGGGATTCCCCTAATTCAGGATGTATTTCCTAAAAGATTTTGCATAATGACAACAATGGCACATCGAGAATCGATTATGCAGAACACAGTTCCGTAAAATTTATGATGACATCTTTCAAATCATGTTATCACGGATGATTACGCTTAAATCGCATCAGGTGAAGTTGGGCAGATATATAATTTTAATATTTTCAATAGTATTAAAGTCCACTGTAAACGAACACTCTTTACGTACGTAAAGACTAATGAAAAAGTAAAACGAAATTTAGTTCATCTATAGAACTCCCTCCCTTGTTTATACATTTAGATTTTAACAATCTGGCAACCTGTTCATGACTTTTTCCCCAAAAAAGTTCAATAGCTTGAAAGTCGATTTATACCACTCAAATACAAAAAGTCGCGTGTGTAGACACAGAAAAACATATGATGTGTAAATTCACTCTTTAATTTTTTATGGTAGTTGATTTAGTGGTGGTGGTGTATCTGTGTGGATGTGGAAGCAGTCTAGTAGGTAGTTTTTGTAGAAGCGAAAGAAAAAATGCCATAAAAATGTTGATATTGTTGTTGTTGTTTTTATTTCACAACAGCTGCTGTCACATACAGCCAGGCAACAACTAACCAAGCAACCACATTTTGTAGTTGCTTTGTTTTTTTTCTTAAGCCCCCTGCTTTTCCCTCCATTCCTCGTCAGTTTGCGTTCTCTTGATATTTTGTTTAATAAGATTTCATACTGCTGATAATGATTCTTTCATCTTTTATTTAGTTTTCGAACTGAGTGTACGTTTGTTTGTGTATGTGTTTGCTGTTTGCCTTCATTAAACATTATTGTTGTTGTTTGTTTTCTCTGTTTTTTTCTACTTGTGTGGAATTTTTATTTTTTAACAACATGCGCACAACTCACAGTGAATGTATGTTTTTTTTTTTTTGCTTTTTTATTTCTTTATCAATAAAAATATCATGCATGAAATGTTCAATAGAGTTTTTTGTTGTTTTCTTTTTACGCTCGTTCTTTAATGCATACATACAAACTAATAAAAGCATTCATTTTTTATTGAACAATGAACAAAGGCAACGTTTTAAATTAAAAATGATTGCTTGTCATTGACTTGTTGTTGTTTTGTGAGTTTTTTCATGAACACGATTTCAAAGAGTACTTGTTTCGAAAAGAGTGGGGGTTAAAAGTTAAAAAGTAATAAATGTTCAGATCAAATATGAGGTGATCGAATTTCGATCACCTCATATTCCTATTAGGTATACACTGATATTAAAGCATTTTATATTCTGTTTTTGAAGAATGAGCAAATCTGAAGGCAAGGAGGGTGAAACAAAAATTCCGATCTACTACTTTCTAAATATGTATGTAATGCCTTGACGCTTAATACTATCATCAATATACCTAGTCCTTCTTCGTGATTAAATCACCACTTTTGAACCGTACAAACTATCTTTGACACTTTGAAATCGTGTTAAATATACATACGTACGTATGTATATAAATATCACATTTTTTTAAATTTTCTCTAACGAAATTGACTTTTCATTTTGATAATCAAATGCAAAACGATCCTGTCAATAAAACCTCGAGAAGAACCCAATTTCAACGTAATATTGTCGTAGTGTTAAGTCAATCACTTCCGGATAACATATTTTCAATTTCAGAACTTAAAATACATTGAAATTTCGTGTATCAATGTAAAGGTTCCTCATGTAAACATCGTATTTTATTCGCATTGCAATATCGGAATTATTTCATTGTTAGTACATTTATGATGTTTTGGGAATATTAAACATGACAAATTTGCACACTTTTTATAGAAGTAAAAACTCTTTAAGGGATGAAAATTTTTCAAAAATTTAAGGAATATTCTGCATGATTATTTTACCCCTTATGGATGATTTAAAACAATTTATAAGAATAAAGTAAAGTGTCATAAAACTTAACATAAAAGAAAAGTATTTTAACACCCATTTCCTCAATGTCCTGTTATAATTTATCGTAACAATGAATTGGCAGTTTTAATACAAAACATTATTTTAACCGGCGGAATATTAACCAGTTAAGCGATAGGTTAGGTTAGGTTGGTAGGAGGATGTATAGTACATCAAATCTGAAAAAATACACCTAGGCCACTATCGGGCCTGTTGTGCACTGCCTTTGATGAAAAATTTTTTTGCAATGTTCAGAAACTCAGTTTCTTGGACGTAATTCCTAAGAATTTTCCA